AAGTTTGTTCTCAGAGAAATGCAGTGCCTAGAAGGCGGTTGCCTAAGCTTAGTCCACTTGGGCCGCTCTAGATCTACAGGTTCAGACACCGGAGGGCTGACGGACAACAGAAACTTAGTTCTCACAGGTCCAAGATCAAGGACAGTAATCAATATTAATTAATATACATTAATTCTATTTAATAAATACTATTACCATTTTCAAAATTACAAGCATTTTTGTTTTTTTGTTTTTGTTTTTTATTGAGCTATACATTTTTCTTCACTTCCCTCCCTTCCTTCCCACTCCCTTTTTGCCCTCTCCCATGATCCCCATGCTCCAAATTTACTAAGGAGATCTTGTCTTTTTCTACTTCCCATGTAGATTGGATCCATATATGTCTCTTTTAAGGTTCTCATTGTTGTCTAGGTTCTCTAGGATTGTGAATTGTAGGCTAATTTTTCTTTGCTTTATGTCAAGGACTTTTTTTAAAGACTCTCTTTTATCTCCCAGAATAGTAGATAAAATATTGGATATGTTTGCCTTTCTTTTTTATATGTAAAATTAAAAATACTAATAAGTAGTAATAAAGTATATCTGATATTACATATACGAAAGAGAGAAAGAAAAATATTGGAGGTATACACAGATTATATAGATGTAGATAATTTAATGTATACTCATAATGTTAAGGTTTAGATGTGGTGTATTCCTCTGTCTCCTGCCAAAGAGACAAGACTTGATCAAAAACCTGACCAGCCATTGATCCATTCATGATTGCATCTTGAGGGCTGACATACTCTGTGTGTTAATTCGCTGGTAGGTTTGTAATTTGGTATCATTATTAGGAAAAGATAGACAGTTTCATAGGTAGGCTACATCCTGTCCTGGACTCCCTGTCTCTGCCTTCCGGGCACCTTGGTGAGACCCTTGTCCCACACTGTGCTGATTGTTCTTCCTAGTCTGGTGCCGCGTCCCAAACCACATCAACAGAGTAAGCTGATCACAGACTAAAATCATGAGCAGTTTAGTCTTGTCCCCTAGAAGTGGCGTTTCTCAGGTGTTTGTCTCCATGATGGTCTGGCTGACAGACATATCAAGGGGGAGTAGCAGACCATGAAGTTAGAGCTGGTACCCCACATCTCCCCGCCACTGACTTCACTCTGTCTTCAGTAAGCACCTCAGGTGGTTTTGCTTTCTAGTCTGGTGCAGCAACCAAACCTTTGTCCTTCCTGCAGGGCCCGGGTCATTTGGGGTGCTTAGATTGGGTCCTTGTAGTTTCTCATTGTGTTACCCTTGCAGGGCATGGTATCGGTGGAGATGCCACAGGGTGTCTTATATTCCTGAGACGACACAGGGTGTCTTATATTCCTGAGACGACACAGGGTGTCTTATATTCCTGACATACTCTTCCTGACACCCATCATGAGAAGGCAGGCTGCTTTCCCTTTGATAGCCACCACAGACCAGTAACCCGGCTCTGCCTGCTGATTGAGAGATGTGAGGAGACCAGAGTAGCCCAGGGCGGAGTGGTTGTCGGCTCAGTAAAGTCATTGTTTTGTCCCTTTGTGGAAGTGTTTCTGGTTTTGGGCTGAGACCTGCAGGTAATAATTTTAGAACTGTTCCTCAAGTCAGCTGCATCAGACCGTGGGAATAGGAAGCAGAGTGTTTGCTGGTGGGTTTAGGGGAAGTAGTGAGTGTGTCACTATCGTTACTGTCCCCGGTGTCTTAGGGTGAGTGTGTCACTATCGTTCCTGTCCCTGGTGTCTTAGAGTGAGTGTGTCACTATCGTTCCTGTCCCTGGTGTCTTAGGGTGAGTGTGTCAGTATC